TACCCATTTATCCTGTGGTGTCATTTGGCGGCAAAACCATCGGTTACAGGACACGTACCACGTCCTTACTAGCAGAAGATTATTTGAGAATGTATCCTAGTGATATTTTCGACTAGGCATTAGCTCTATGTGAGCTAAAGTAAATTTTAATTTGTCCACCCGACAAACTGTTGCGGAGGGTGGATGAATTTTGCTTTAAGTAGTTTGATGGTTTATATTTCAATTTTAAATATCCGAGATTTGGATGATCTTTTTGGAATTTTGGGAGTTTGGGTGGCATTTTGGATATTTGAAGTTGACCCCTCCGATTGAGATTATCATTCAACACGGCCATCATCGAGATATGAGGGGTCATTTCTATTTAAAGCTTGAACCTTATCGACCCTATCAACTTGCCGATAGGGGATCAAATTTCGTAGGCTTTATGACTTTATTAGTTAATTCATATTTTTATAAGCCTTGAAGGCCTAATATGAATGTATTAAAACAAATATACCGGCCACCACAACTGTTTATTTGTTTAATGGTACGAATCTGAATTCACTTGTTGACCCGCGCAGCATCCTTAAACGTCACGTATGTACCTGTAACACGTTCGTCGGGGCCCATGCGAGTTAATGATTTTATCGATGAATCTTTCTTATAAAAGGCCTTGAAGGCCTAATATAAATGTATAAAATAAATATCTCGGTCTACCTCGTGACAACATATTTATTTAATGGTTCGAACCATATCGAGAAGGATCGGGTTAAAACCTAGATTCATTATTTAGCCCGCGCAGCTTTCGTATACATCACGTGTGTATCAAAAACACGCTCGCCGGGACTCATGCAAGTTCTTGATTGCATACCCCCTTTTAGTGTACCTACGTGTGTACAAGCTACAGTGCATGTGCGGGAGTATTTTGAAATACTTGTAAACGTCTTCTGTCCGCTTATATAGATGTTACAAATCCGGTGGCATTGCGTAGCAGCTTATAGATTGAGTTGTTCTTGATTGCATACCCTTTTAGTGTACCTACGTTTGTACAAACTACAGTGCATGTGCAGGGGTATTTTGAAATACTTGTAAATGCCTTCTATCCGCTTATATAGATGTTACAAATCCGGTGGCGTTGCGTAGCAGCTTAAAGATTGAGTTGTTCGCTGCCTTGTATAGATAGACTGTCGTGCACTACTTATCTCTTTCAATAGTCCATAGGCATTTTCATTCATTGTATTCATCTGCATTTTGTTCATAGATGACACTTCATGTACACAACAGGTCTACTACAAAGGCCCATGGGTACTTGCATCTGCTGCATGTCGTACATTCTTACTTATAGGAGAATGGTGTATTCACCTACATTTGATTGCATGAAGGCGGTATTCACTCCAAATTCTTGAATACCTCTTCATCGTTAGTTCATTGTATGTTGATACTGGATGCTTGCAGCATCCCTACTGTATCACCGGGTGTATGAGACATCTTTGCACATTTCACCATGTTATTCCGTGCATCTCTATTTCATCTTTCTTATGTATAATTGCAGGGAGTGTCACCGTCAGTATGTAGCTCATATGTTTATTGTATGTCAATTTTTCTTGTTTGTAGAAATTCAATGTATTTGTTCTCCATGACATCTTTGAATGTTATGATCATTGATTGAGTTGTATTCCTCACCATCCACTTCTTCATATGTGTTGGTTATTGTCTTTTGAGGGAGTCTAGTGTATTTGCTTACACTTGAATGACATCAGTTGTGTATGAGCTTTAGTGTTCTATTCATGAACACACCAAGGCATTATTGTAACCAAGTTGTTTCCCCTCGATGTTTGCAAGCATGCTGCATTTATTATGTATAACAACTAGCAAATCACTATGCTCATTATATTGCTCGAAGGTTTATAACATGAATAACAATATTATCATTATTGTCATTTGACATTGACATTTGGATTGGCATAATCATCATGGACGGATTTGGGGGCTTCTTTCATTAATGATATCCAGCTTCTTCGAATGAACTTGTGGATCCACTAACATGGACATTATGTCACAGATTGCTTATGTGTAGGTTGAAAGTCCTTTGTTGTAATATTGAGTATATCATCATATGAAAAATCTTGTCTACTTGCAAACCTTTCATCCTCTAAGACTGTTTACAAGATACATGATGAGTTTGATATCAATTCCTTCATTCCAACTGAGAGGATCATTATAGGCTGATCATGATTGCTCAAATACGCTTTATGCTAAAGCTTGTAATCACTTTATATGTCAGTCTTTGTTTTCTTGGATGAGACTCAGACGGATCATCCCCTTTGATTATCATTTGCATTTCTATTGGAATAATAATTCTTTAACCTTTAAGAGCTTAATGTCATGTCTCGAATTCAAATTTCATTGAGTCATTAAGATTTGCATTAGAGATGAAGTGATAATTTCTTAGTGGTACATTAGAAATTTGCAGTTCTATTCAAATTAGGCCTCTTATGAATTGTTCACATTAGTCACATTAAAGCTCAAGTTTTATTAAGTTGTGTTCATGCTCATTGTTCTATTGTTCAAGTCCAAATCAAAGTCCCCTGCGGTCCTTATAGAGTTCAAGTCCGAGTTCAAATCGAGTTCACTTGTTTCAAGTCCAAGCTTATGTTGTCCTTCAAGTTCATTTAAAGTTTATATTCACTTAAATCAATTGCATCAAGTCCATAAGTCCCAAATTGTTCCATGTCATTGTCTTATTTCAGACAAAATTTTGGCAGCCTCCCAGCGTCTCCCCCATTTAGGGGAAAAACCAAGAGGCCGCCTACCCGCCACATCAAGAAAGACGTGCACGGTTGGTGTTTGTGAGACACCGTGGGGATGATTTTTGTTTGTCATCCACCACCCCAAGAAAGGCATGCATGGGTTATTAAAAGTATTTTTTGAAAAAGCAATTTTTTATTACCCCGCCGTGCTAAGAAAAGCACGCACAGGGATTGCCCGCTTCATCGTAAGCTTCGCACCAAGTTTCCTCTCACTAGGCTAAAAAAGTGTGCAAAGGGTCCCTCGGCACGCTGCAAAAGCCGAAAATAGGACTTTTGGAGGGGATTACCCGCCTCGCCATAAGTACCGGAATGAACTTCCTCCCATCATGCTAAGAAAAAGCGTGCATTGGTGGTTATTCGCCCCATTGCAAGTGTTGAGGGTGGGTTCTCTCAAGTTTGAGGATTTATACCTTGGCGAGCGTCGGGGTGGTGGGCACGAAAATTGAGACAACATTTTTTTTATTTTTCTTTTTTTTTAACTTCCAAACAAAAACATAAACTATATATATATACAACAACATTACTATTAGTTAACAAATAAAATAAATAAAAAAAGCAAATAATAACTTATAATAAAATATAATTATTATAACTAAAAATTAATAATAACCTATAATAATAACTATAATAGCAGTTAATACCACTAATACAAAAAAATTAAGTAGCATGTATACCTAATTAGCTAGAGAGTTCGGGTAAGAGCAGGAGGTTGTGAGGTGGAGTGTAAAGGGAGTGGGGTCTACTTGGTTCGCAGAGAAAGGGGAGGTGAAAGCCTTGAAGGAGGTCGGGTTCAGCTAAGTGTCAGCTACAAGCAGAGAGGAGGAGATCGGGTAGGGAGCGGCTTCAAGCAGGTGGATTTCGGTTTGAAGGGTTTTTTTTTTTTTTTTTTTTTGTTCTGTTGGTTAATACTTAGAGGTCAACATCTTTCCCAATTAAAGGGTCTTGTTTTGGTAATCCATAACTCCTCCCCAATCCCCCAAAAATCCACACATGCCGCCGGCCCCATGCATGTCCCCTACTTGAATACTTTCCAAACATCAAATTTCTATCTTTGGGAAGAATTCAAATTTTTCCCTCTCACCTACCCGCCCCCTTCCTCTCTCCAAATCCCCAATAAATCCTTTCAAAATTAAGGGATTAATTAGGGTAAAGATTTTATTAATTCCCTCCATTATTTATTTGAAATTCAAATTTCAAATACCCCATCTTTAATTGGCCAAATCAGAAATCTAATTTTAGATTTCTCTCTTGAAAAGAGTTGCTTTCCTTAGCATTGGCCGGCCATCACCTTCCCATCCCCTCCTTGCTCCGAAATTCATCCCAAACCCTAGCTCTAGGGTTGTCACATTGCAGTCCAGAATTTTTGGACAGTGTCCGGAAGCTGTCCTGCTACCCGGAGATCATCGTGTGCTGTCCAAAATCCTCAGTTTGTTGTTTAAAGAAACCAGTCCAAAGGAACTTGCATCCCACCCGCCAAAGATCATCAAATTGCTGTCCTAAGGCAGCTAGGGGTTGTGTTGCAGTCAACTCTTTCCCCAACACCAAAGCGGCTAAGCCGGAGCTCCGTATTTGTCTTTCCCTTGGTAAATTTTTCTTCCTACTCTTATATCTTCCTAATTCACCTTTCAATTGTGGTTATAGTTTGATTCACAAAGATTCTTGCTGATCCCTCCGCTAAAGCATAGTAATTTAGGAAGTTGAGTGAGGAATCCTTGCATAGCGACTAATCTTACTGTTAGCATAGGGATTTTGTTGAAAAAACTTCCATGTATGCAACGTTAAATTAATTGACTATTTTATAATCTTAACTTCTGCACATGTGATTTGGGCTAAGCTTATTTTATCACCTTATTATTTTATCTTATCGTTAAATCAATATAAGTTATGCTTATTATTGTTTTCTAAATTTAAAACGTGCAAATTTCTTATTCCAATCATTTTTGCATTTATGTCGTGCATCATCATGATTTAAATAAAGATACAACATAATGACCGCCATATAAAGAAAATTAGTATTGCCAAAAACCTATAGAGATGAACTTATTGATGTGAAATGAATAGGCCTCATGAAAAATTTAATAGGGCTCACTCGAGTCAAAAACATGCATGTAAATCTCACCAATATAAGAGAACAAAATCTACATAAAACATTCAACAACAAAAAGAACATTTATAAGGATTAAATAGATATAATATAACATAATTTCTTACTGGTAAGCGTATTGTTCTAGATTGATCAGAAAGAGATTTTCGAACAGATTGTTTGATCCACCAATGTGCATATGTAGAAAATTTAAATCCTTTTGAAGCATCAAACTTCTCAGCACCCCTTAATAGGCCTCGACATCCCTCCTAGAAACAAAAGCAATGACAGTTCTAAGATGAATGCCACAAAAAAGGGTACGAGCATTATCCATCTGAAAACGTAAAAATAAAACCTGAACAAGATCCTGGATGCTCATCCCTGCACCTTGAAAATTTTTTGCAATTGAAATAACGAGTCTTATGTTACTTTTGATCATCTTGTCCTTGCAATGAGTTCCATAGTTTAGTCGCTGCCTCAGGGTCTTTGTATCAAGTCCAGCTGCTACAGCCCATTCTGCAGAAGTTGGTTGTCTGCCAAATCTTTCTACAAGCTCCTCTTGGATTCTCTCAAGCTTTAGTAGGTCCTACATTAGATCATTACCAAGAACATACATCAATGCAAAAAAAAGTAGTTCATCTTATAGAAGGTCAATTGCTGCTATTGTAGAATTCTCCCTTAGGATATATGACTGTATCCAGTGAATTCTTTACTACATGTCTAATATACAAGAAGTAATACATTTCATTACACGAACTCATATCTAAGGAGATGCAGGGATCATTAAAAGGAACAATTTAGCATGTTAAAGGATAGCCTACATCAAACCGAAGAGACAAAACAAGGAAAAATGACAAATGCGGAGTAAGAGAACAAGGTTTTAGGTATAATCCACAATAATTCCAAAAAACTAGAACGAGTCTCTTCAAATATTTCTGTAAGTAGTTACTAAACTTGGTCGATGTGTGTTTTATAGAAGAGGACAATAAACATGCCAAATAATAAGAAGATTCTTCTTCCAATAACATTGATTAGGGAATCCTTGGTTAACTTTACAATTGCCATGTCTACAATAGATTTCTTTCTTCAATTTCTTTATCTCTTAGTCTGACAATTTTGCATATCTGCAGTTTTTTTCACTATTCTTTCATTGGACTTGAAAAGTCTGTTTTGCCACTTTTGAGAAAAAAAAGTTCTATTTTTTATTAAAAAGGAGTCTAAAAAGAAATTCAAGCGCGATATGATTATGGTATATTCAACTTCCATTAAACTTGTAAACTAAGAAATGCTCCTAGACGGTTCTTAATGGTCTTGCTATGATATATTTTAAAGGTTAATTTATTCCAACTGCAAATTGTTTATGATCAAAATCATTTTATATGAAATGACGGAAAAGGATTTGTAAACAAGAAATGCTATACGTTCTGATGAAAAAAGGCATAACATATATGGCAAATGAGGCTGCAAAAAGCAACATACTCTTCATATTAGAAAATGATTCAGGACTCTCCAGGCCTTCATCATCAGTTTTGTTGTCATGGCAATGGTGGTCATGACAGGAGGGAGGGGCAATAGCGACTTAGATATGGGTGTGAACAAAGGAATGAAAATGAGAACCATGTGGGTTAGAAGTATAAAGAGAATAAATGCAACCATGACAAATTCAATCACAATTGCTGTTTTTCCTATCTCAATCATCACAAGTTCCTAAAAATTCCAATGCGTTATGATAATAAATGACACCACCTTGCTACAAAAGAATGCATCTCCTTGTCAAGGCTAAGCCCTTGACCAATGATTTGATGTGGGGCCTATAGAATCTTGATAGTGAAGGCAATAACTAGATTGAAAAAGTTATGTTGATAGGGGGGTAAAAAGGTTTTTAGGGTTTTATACATATTTGAGGCTAAAACCTTTACGTTTTGAAGTGTTTAGCTTTTTCTTGGAGAAAAAAAAAAGGTAAAAAACTTCATATCAAAGGTTTGGGATATTAGGGAACTAATGGAAGTATTTTTATCAATTTTGGATGAGAAATTAAAGAGTTGTGAATTTTTTAATCTTGTTTTGCTCATAATAAGAAATTAATTTATTATATTAGTATTTTGGCTAGAATAATCTAGGGGTTCCTAGTGATTTAAGGCCTTAGGAAGGTTTAGGGATTGCAGGAGAATGTACAGAAGATTAGTGGAGGTGTTGGTGGGATATTGAGGTTAGGGGGGGCTAGGTTTCAAGGATTGGACAAGCCTAGCTGGTAAGAGGGAGAGTTGTGTTGTAGAAGAGAATAGGATATAGAGAGAAAAATTAAGGACTCATCAAAACCATAGGAAATCAGCCATCAAACTTTAACAAAGAGTAAAATAGCTACCAAGCATTTCTACACAAAATTTGCACAAATAAAAGAAAACTTTATTCAATGAATCTTAGGAGTGCAAAGCATGCGATATTTATAGGCTTTGCAAGCTTATGGCCGCTTAAGATTTATTTAGAAATCCCTTAGAGCCAATAAAACACTACTAAATGAAATGATGACATGCCATAAAGCTATGAAAATGAAAACAGCAAAAACAATTATTAAAAAAAAATCATAAAAAGAAAAATATATATACCAAGACAAATGGGAAAATTGCTTTTGCCTCGTACTACGACGCAGCCAACATCACCGCCATCGACACGATTGCAAAGGTATAATCCAAAAACCTGTCCTTGATGCTTACAACATGGCGAGCAACCACCTATGTGTATTTTATTTGCACAATGGGAGGAAACTCGTTGCAATACTTGCGACGAGGCAGGTAATCCTCGTGCGTGATTTTCTTAGCGTGGCGGGGCAAAATCTAAGTACCCGTGTGCGAGCCTTAGTGCCGGCAGGAAATGAATTGTGCATTTTCAAACAAGTACCCCTGAAGACCCATGCACGCCTTTCTTGGCGTGGTGGGATTAAAGAGCACGGCCGCGATATCACACGACACCGATTGTGTGCATCTTTCTTAGCGTGGCAAGAAAGGCTATGACTCCCCAAATTTCCCCCAAATAGGGGATATGTTGGGGTGCTGCCAAAATTCCGAGTAAATGGGCGAAGATTGAATGAACAACATAAGACCTGACTTGACCTAAATGACAGGGAACAAGACTTGACATTGAACAATAGGGAACTGGACCCTAAAATGTTGAAATGCATAGTTAAATTAATAATACCAATGCTAATGATAATTCAAGCATTAATGAACAAGGGACTTGTGGTGAACAAGATCCTCAGTGCATGTGAGCGACAGGCAAAGAAACTCATTCAACTTGCAAAATTGCAAGTGAATATGGCAATCAATGCAAACAGACACAGCAATAAAAATTAAAGGGAAACTTTTAATTTGCAAGCAAAACCAATCAACTGCAAAATGCTCTAGCAAAACCCACATATGACAATGAATAACTTGTCATGTAGGCAATAGCCAATTTGTAAATTAAAGTGGTAACATTTACAAGCAGTGGTAGATGATCCATCATACACATAACAGGTCATGCAAAGATTGACAACAGATAATTTGCAAAGAATGTAGCAATGTCTTGCACGCTACATCAACATAGGAACAAACATGTACAATTGTGCGAGCAACAAAGATTGATCATGCAATGAATTGCCAACTGAGAGATGTTTGAAGGCCTTAAAGCAAGTGCAACTTGCATACGACTTGCCACTGTCGATACGTACATTATATCACCTATGAATGATGAGAGTGAATATAATGCAAGTGCAATGGCTCTTCTACAAGCACATCCAAGACTTTCTTGCAAGGGAACATGCAAGACTTGCTTGCAAGTGGTAATACTGCCCACAGACATGTATGTGTAGTGTGCAGTGAATACTAGGAGGTTCATGTAGTCAACGACAATCAAATGACTTTGACAATTACACTGATATCCTGCGAGTTGAAATAGTTGATAAGTAGAAGATATGAAATCCTTCCTACAATCAACGATTTCTCAATAGCATGCCAATGTACTAATCCCTCGCAAGAAAAAGCAGTTGATTTATAGCAGATGCGAGCACTCACAAACTAATGTAGAGGGACTCGTCATGCATATTATATGCTATCTATGGGTAAAATATGGAAGAGCTATAGTAAATGCAAGTACATACACGCAACATTGAAGAACCCATGATATGCGCAACATCTTGCTAGTGAAAGTGGCAAGTGATTTGTAGTATCACTTGTGAAGAATAGCAAATGACCCATCTGAAGAAGATGAGTTGGAGCTCAACTGCACTACCGACTTGAATAATCTGAACCAACCAATGTCGCCACCCTGTGATTATACCGTGTGCAGTTCTTGTGATGAGATATCCACAAATAATGGATATAGTTGTCTTGATTGTAGACTATCTCATGAACGCAAAGATTTGAGACATGTCACTCATATGACAAAGTTCCTTACTATTTACAAAAATATGAGTTCCGTTATATCCTCTTTACAGCAAGGTTCCTCATATGGCATTACTGATGTTGATGTACCTACTCTCGTCTTATGAATCAAACATGTTAGGAAGAGGCGCACTTATTTTACTAGAGCTTAAAATTTATGGATTAAGTACAACCAAGTCCTCCAATTGACTGTGACATTAAGCATGCGAAATTGAATAATTTTATGAATGATTTTGTAGAATCAAAGAATGACCAGTTGAAGAAGAAAAAAATGTCTCATTCTATCACCTCTTAAGAAATACTAAGGCTCCAAAAAATATACCGCGCTATTTGGGTGTAGACCCGGAGATCAAGCCTCGCAACTCGGTGTCCTACATGTGCATCAAAAATACATAAAACGGACCCCTCGAGTATACTATTTTGGAGCTACCATGTGCATATCAAATACTATGGTGTTGTTGAGATGGTGAAGACTCCTGCACTCTAATGTGTCCATACTTCAAGAAGATAACTTCATCATAAGCCAAATATGAGAAACCTAACGATGTATCAGCTGAGCCTTTGGTCTCATTAGAATGTGATACCTCATCTATCATAAAACGACCTCATGTGGTTTGGATGTCCTTATCCAATCTATACAAGGATTAGATAACTTATAAATATGATATCTAAGAATGGAAAGGCAATCATATAGGAGCTTGCTGGACTAAGTGGTGTGCTTGTAACTTATCAATAGAAGCATAATGCAACACATGTCATTGCTGCTACGAATAAAGACGGATCCTACATTAGAACAATGAAGTATCTCATGGCTACGTCAGGTGACAACGCTACAATTCACCCATAAGCAAAAGCAGCGAATCAATAGTAAAAATCACGGGCCACTAAAGTGCAACGTCATGCCACCGAATCTACAACGTTCATGCAAGCGAACATAAGGTGTTTGGAGAGTCCTAAATGAAATTTCGAGCCTTTTATTAACAATGATTATTTGCATAGTCGATAATCATAAGAACACCCCTTTGCACCGCATGCAAATATTTTAAAATGCCCCTCATATATATATTGCAACATACATGATAATTAATTTAAACATGTTACCCAGCATCGCGAGATTCATTTAGTTGTAACAAGTGCATTGCATTTACATGCTAATATGTTGCATATGCGCGTATCATAACTTGCAGAATATATTATGAGCATATCATCCGACATTGCAAGTATATTTTAAAGTGACCTCCGGCATGCATTTGCAGAATGTCGAGGATTTCATTTTAGCATATTGTTTGACATTACAACTGCATCCCAAAATAACTTTTGGCATGTATTTGTAAGATATTGAGGATTTCATTCAAATATGACACCTAAAATCACTGTTGCATTTCAAAATAACCTTCCGCGTGCATCTATAGGATTTCGAATATTTCATTCAAGTATATCATCTGACATTACAATTGCATGTTAAAATGACCTCCATGTATCGTTGAGATGAAAAAGGTTTCATTCAAGTGTGTCATTTGACATTACAATCATAATTTACAATGACCTCTTGCATGTATTGGTAGGATGCAGGGGATTTCATTCAAGCATGTCATTTTGACATTGCAATTACCATGGTTTAAAATTGCGCAATATGAGGCTCGCCTTGAGGCCAGCCTTTGCGCAATTCCAGTAAAAAACGTCTCGATGCTTACGCCTCGAATTTTTTTATGAGGCTTGCGCCTCAACTTGGTTGAGGCCCGCCTCATCTCACTGGCATGAGGCTTACGCCTCACGCTATATATATTAAAACTTACATAAATCTTGAAGTAAATGCCCGACATTGGACTCTATAGGAGAGGAGGAATGGGAGAGAGCAGTTCATCATAATGATGATTCAAATGAATAACCCCTTAGTGATGACAGTGTTGATGACTTATATCTTATGCTTTTTATGTTTTATATTATTCACTCATTAGTATATAAAAAATTTATCATTTTATGTTTACGCAATCTTTTGATTTTGAGGCTTACGCCTCAAAACGCCTTGAGGCTTACGCCTCGAATCATGAATGAAAAACGCCTCAATACCCGAATACGCAATTTTAAACATTGGCAATTACATTCTAAAGTATCCTCCCGTAAGCATTTGCAATATGCAGAGGGCTTTATTCCAGTAATGTCATGCATATATATAAATGCATCGCGCAAAATGCATTCAACAGTATATACCCGCACGAGCCTCGGCCAACGTGTCATAGGTACATGTGTGACATCTGAGGATGCTGCACGGGTTAAAAAATAAATTTAGATATGAACCTGATCCTCTGTCAGAAAATTGATAGAGTCGATAAGGTTCAATCAACAAAAATGAAACAAAATTGCTCATACACTCTGATGATAGTCGTGTTGATAAAAAATCTTAACCGGAGAGAACCACAACCATTTAAAATGCCTTCAAATGACAAAAAAAAATCCAAAATTCCAAAAATACCAAAAGTAAAAAATATTTAAAATTAAAATAAATAATCAAACACTTAAAGCAAAAACTCATCCACCCTCCGTGACAGTTTATCGAGATAGGAAAATATGAAAACTACTCTAGCTTATAAATAGTTAATGTCTAGTCAATAATATCACTAGAATTTTTTCTTAATCAGTCTCTTGCCAATAAAGACGTGGCAAGTGTCCTCTAACCGATGTTTTCGCCGCCAAATGGCATCACAGGTAAACGGTTATAATCGGGACCCTTTGAACAGGGTGGTTTTGCAGCAAACATGACACCATTATACTATGGTCATAGTCAGAGCCCATATGTTTCCCAATGATATCAAATCATTGAGCAATGAATCAATATGATATAATCGATAAGGCAAAAAGCCCTCTATTAGCTAAGGTGGATTCAAATTTGTCTTCTTAGACAAATATTCACCCCAGGTCTACAAGGTACCCTTGAACGAAGCTACCTATGGCTATCAACAAGGATCCTTCGATCAAGTTGGGTTGAATACCTCCTTTGACTAAGTAGACCTGGGACCACGATGGCCCGGGACAACAAAACTATGGGATCTTGATCGGGCTCATCATTACTCCTCCCACCATCCGCTTTAAGTGCAAGAAGGTGATATTTTCAATTTTAAATATGAATTCTTAAGTACCTAAACTCATGCTGCTACTAGATGCCAGATACTTTGTATATGTTTGACGACAAGCCTTAATCGAAAGTTCTCTCTCATTATCAGGAGGGGTAATTAACTATAGGGGCTTGCGCTTATAGGAAACCTGAACTCATATCATAAAGTCCTCGCAAAATGAGGGTGAAATCTCTAGGTAATGTCTGATTCAAGTCCAATTTGCCTTTTGAAAATTTGCCGCGAAACTTGTTAAAACTCTTCTCGACGACCCCAAAAGAAAAAGAAAGAGAGAGGGATCCAAAAGAGGGGTGGTCGGGGTGAAACTTTTCGGAGCCCATAGACAACAGCTATTAAATTCAGCAATAATAAAGATCATACCAAAAAAAAGAGTTCAACACATAAAATCAAACAAAACTTCAATCATGCAATTATATTAACCACAAAACAAGCTACGAGAATGAACAAGGATAAATAACCAAGTAGGAAGTTCAAGCCTCATATCGATATAAGGAGACTCATCCCCCAAAAATAGTCATCAAAACTTGCCAAGCTATCAATGAACACATATTCAACCTACAATTCAAAGTTCTCTAAATTTTATATGACTCATGGGTCTTACTTATAACCCACAAAGGAACCAAATAAGAAATTCTCCGTGCAATGCTTTATGGGTCAGAATGCGAAACTTCAATCATGCATTCATGCTTAAGATGATGGTTAGACCTGCAATGCTTTATGGCACAGAATGTTGGCTATTCAAAGAGAATCATAAAATTAAGTGTTGTAGAGATGAGGATGTTCAGCTGGACGAGTCACTTAGAGATAGAATGCAAAATGAATATTTATGTGAAAATTTTGGAGCAGCTCTAGTGGCAGATCATATTAGAGTCTCTGTAGATGGTTTGGTTACATCAAATGTCGACCTTCCGATGATCCTATTAGGAGAGTAGATGTATGAGATCTGGCCTATATTAAGAAAGGTAGAGGTAAACCTAAAAAGATTTTGTTAGAAAGTATTAAAATTTACCTTTTTATTATTATATTTAAATGATAAATTGACTCAGAATATGACAAAATGTAGAAAAATGATCCATATTAAAGGCATGTTGTTCTTCTTATTGTACACTTGTTGGTAGGCATAGTAGTCCTTGTAAAACAAATTCAAAATTTTTGGGTTAGGGTTGATGATGCTTGTGAAATATTTATGATAAAAAATAGCTCATATTCATCGCAAGACAGATGACTGTAGCAATGCTAAATGTGACAGTATGTTAATGTGTCCATTAAATGTCCAAAAAGATGAATGTAATATAATTTATCTTTTGAATGAATATTGATAACAAGTATATTTAATGAGTACAATTCTTCACCTCATAGTGCAAGTATCGGTAAACTATGTGCCATTCATCCTATATGAAGTTGGTTAACTATGGTACTATAATCACTCTTAAATAGTACAATGATTCTGAGCTACTGACAGCACAAGTAAACTTTTATATGGGACGATTGCAGTAGTGCTGAAAGTGTGACAGATTTCTAGCATCACATGAACGCTTAGGCCCACAGAATAAAATTAAGTCCAAAATGTTGAGCTTGAAGGAGAAAATGCTATGAACTTCTCATGAAGATAGTGAAAATTATCTAGTCGTCTCTGGAACATATTACAGCAGCATTTTAAAGAAAGTTGTTTATGACTTTAATGAAAGTAGAAAACACTCATATTGCTATGTATGGCATCCATCGAAGAAAAGACATGAACTTGTTTTTCTTTGTACTTATATAAATAATGTTGAAGTTCAACAGTGTTAATGATTTCTCATTTGCTCTATCTATGAGCTTGCATGAAAATTCTACGGCCAGCAAAGCTTACCAGTAATACAGCAAATATTGTTGTTAGCTTGTAAAGAAAAGAACCAATGAACCAAAAGTATTCCATAATGTCTTAAACTGGAAAATTTCCAACCTGAATTCCTTCTGAAAACTCTTGCTCTTCAGCAGATGTGAGAAGCTTTGCTGAGCTTGTTGTATTTCTAAGGTAATGTAAAGGATCAGAATAATCAACCTCCTGCAATGCAGCACGCTTTTTCTTTCCAGATGATCCTGACTTAACAGAAGCAAAAGGAGCAATAGCCGTTTCAGTCAGCCTAGCTCTTCTGGCCCTTCTTTCTACTTGACGCTTAGATCGCACAGCTATGTTTTGCATGAGATCAAGCTCATTTCTCATGAAATCAGAAATGCTCGTATCCTGAGATAAATTCTTTGTGATATGCCCTTCAAGGGGTTCGGTTACTGTTGTGGCAGAATGATTGTGCCTGGTTTGCTCTATGTCAGATAATTTAATTACCTCATATCTAAATTTTTCATCTCCAGATGCAGAATCATTTGATTTGTCTAATTTCAAACATAGGTCACTTTCCAGCAACTGAGCTGCTTCTTTGGCAACTTCAACTGCTGCTTTTGCAATAGCAACTGCCTCCGCAGCAGCTGCAGCTATTACTGCCTCGTCACTTGTTAGAAATGCTTCTTTTGGTAAGGTTTCTTCCCCTTTCCTCTGGAGAAAATGAACAACATAAAAAAGTGAATAGATGGCAAGAAGGTCGGAGCCTAATAATCAGAAGTGAATTATTTGGCTGCTGAGCCTTTCTTTCTCATGCTATAGCTAAAGGACCAAGATAGTCTTGATGATAATTAACCCTAACAAAAGTATGCTTAAAATTAACCCTAACAAAAGTATGCTTAACAGTAAGACAAGAAAATATTATCCCACAGTATAGAAGTATTGCCCCACACATGACAATTAGTGGAGAATCAACTCCAAGGAAAAAATATTAGTACTTCAAATGTCAAGAAATTACCTAATAACTTGCAAGTTTTCCAAGAAATTCTTGCGCCAAACAATATTTTGCAACCGCATCATACTCAGTAAGAAGGTTGAGGAAGGGTCCCTCATCTTGGATGGGGATGGCAGAAAGATCTATAGGCTATAGATTCAATAATGCAAAGCAAACATTAAGGGGATGAAATAAGAAAAATTAACTTCACATCTCTCTTGTCATGGAGTGCTCTTGAAAAATACACTATGAACCAGGTTATCTTATATATAAACCAGCACATTAATCTTAATCCTTGGAACCATCAATTACCATTCAAGCAGATTTGATCCATATTCAAACCAACATAAGTAGGATATCTGAGATACCTACATGATGCAATAATTCAAAATAGATATATTGTATTCCAATGCCTTCAACTTAAGGCTTGTAGTGTTTTCATTAACTTCTAAAGGATAATACTCCTCCTAAAATGCAGGACCAAACTAAAAGGGAATTGTTAGTTTGATATTGATAACTATATAAAACAATCTTTAACGTGGAAACATGAAAGATAAATGGGTTGAAAACAGTCAAGATATATGTGGAAGGCAACTAAGGTAATTAGATAAGTTATAGATTTTCAACTAAAACAGCCAACTTGAACTTGTAGCTGAATATTCCATCAAGAAACAAAAATAAGAGTAAAATGCATATAGATCCATGAGGTATAAATGTTCTTCCATGAGTTTAAAAATCTCCTATTTGATAACCGAGATATAAAAGACATTTCATTTTGATCCTTACATTAATAGAACATCAAATAAGGAATAAAATGTTCAGCTTTTTTCTCAACTTGCTGAAAAAGTCAAGTAACCTTCCTTTGCCTCCCAACCCTCTTTTGCGAGGTATAAAAGCGTTTACTGACCAAGGAGCTCATCAGCGAAGAGGCAAGAAAAAGAAAGCCAACAAGCCAAAGACATAAATTGCATGTTATTTGTTCCTTCAAAACGTTATTGGTTAAATATTACTTGAAAATTGTTAGAAATCCTAATATTCTTTTCTCAAACCCTGCATCATACTTATTGAATCTAGGTACTTTCATCAAAAGAAAAAATAAAGAATTTGCAATTAAAACAAAAAGGCATCAACATGACTGAGCTTAACAAAAAAGTTAACAAAGCTAATGAAAAATGACATCCATGACAAGCAACATTTTAACTCAAGGATCATCTTGTGCACAAAAAAAAACTCATAAGTGAAGGACCTATGTATAATTTACCCCAAAAAATATATGCATTAGAATAAGTTTGTCAACAACAACAACAATAACATCAAGTCTTTGTCCCACTATGTAGGGTCGGCCACATGAATCCTTTTTCTCCATTGTGTCATGTTAAAAGTCAAATTCTCGTTTAAATCTAATAAAGAAATATCATTTCTAATATTTTTAAACCAAGTCTTGTTAGGTCTACCTCTACCTTTCTTAACATAAGTAAATCTAATACCACAACTTTCCTAACCGGGTCATCGGAAGGCCTCCGTTTAATGTGACCAAATCATCTCATTATAATAAGTTTGTCAAAAAAAAAAAAGAATGTTTCCATATAAATAAAAATTTACATGTCCTATGTAGTAAATTTGACAAAATCTTAGAACTGTTACTGATACAACCTAAAAAAATAATTTGACCTAAAATTGGCAATATCTAAGTTTCATCACCAATTCCCAATGCCCATCTTCTTGAGTGAAAAAATAAAATAAAATAAAATTCACAAAAATTGGCCATTTCAATGTGAAGGAGTGCTTAGCAATATTTCATGTGATCCGCCCTCACCTTTCCAGGTGGACCAACAACCCCAATATACGTCAAGGGTTTTGTAGATCCTAATGGCTTGAAATGACCTTCCAAGGTTGGTATATGCAGCTTCTCAATCACTGTCATTATCTGTGATGAAGAACAGTGTGTCTTGAAATGAACAAGGACCCTAGCATTCACTGCACGTTTATAAATAAGAAAAGCTTATAATTACTCATCGTAGCTCAAGAAAAGTTAAGGGAAAAAAAATTCTTGCAATGAGGATTCTAAGAAGATAGTAAACAATTTATGCTTGGAAATGTTTGTATCAAAGCTTCTATAAAACATAGACACAAGCATCTGTCATAAATGCTGACAATTCAAAATTAAAGTAGGCATGAAGAGGATAAGAATAAAATCCTGGAAATACAGAGAAGCTATCCAACGTCACTCTATTAAATGAAAGTAACTTTGTGATGTCACCTGGAAAATAGAAAATTCATATAATGAATACATGTTCATTTTTACTGTAGTGCAATGGAGTTATCTATTTTATACCAAAAAAAAAACTATAAGGTTCAGCAGCTCATGCTGGTGCCGTAATGAATAGTCAAAAGAAGAACTGCTATTCGTTTTGCAGAAAACACATCAGTATATTGTCATTTGAACTAAAGATCAAGCAATGGAAATACACTATAAAATTAAGAAATCATTTAAAGTTCGATTTTTTTTTTCTTATAGTTTGAACAACTTTTGAAGTTTGATTTTTTTTTTTTTAACTCTACCCCTTGCCGCCTAATTTAATAATGATGAAAACAATTTAGTGTCTGAGGTGGGGATTTCAAAATAATATATGTCTAAATATAAAGGAGAAGCTTTAATAAGGGAAATAATATAACAATGGGGAAGTGGATTTCCATAGATAGCTTTGCCAATTAAACAATAACAAAATTGAATCCTTCATTAACTTATGAACTAATTGATGCTTTAGAGTGGCAACCTGTACATTTTAAATATATCAAATGCTATGTTCATTTAGGTTGCTATAATTTATGGATTATTGATTTAATGCAACAAACATTTGCTTACAAAACATTTGCTTACAAAACCATAAATATTTAAAGACACCGGCTGCATTCGTGACATGGTATTCCATGAAATAAACATACAATATCTTTACGCAACATAAATTAATGGTTATGCCATATTGTTGGCATAGGTTGAAATCGATCAATCACTAACATTTAATTCCATGGTAGAAGATTGTGATTAATACTGGTTTTGATCATCAATCATTCAGATCTGAGTTCTATCAGAGTTTTAAGACACTATTATCATGGTGCTCTCCTTACAAAATAAAGCCAAAGCACTCTGACAAAAGAAAGACATCATAAAAGGATTACAGCTTCAGGTTAAACCCTCAAAACACAAGAGAAGAAATCCCTCCAAAAATATTAAACAACAATAAGTTCTATCCTTATTTTCTGATATATCAAACTATGATTTGTTTTGTAATATTATTTTTATAGACATATTTACATTGATACAAAATATTAGGATTGTGTGGGAGCTACAGATGGTATGCATGTTCATGTTAAAGTGCCTAGATCTGAAGACCCAGGGTAATGTGGTAGAAAAAAGTACCCAACACAAAATGTACTACTCAGCAAGTTTATTCAACCTAAAATTCAGGTATGCGCGATCTGAATGGAAGGGAAATTTACATGATTAAGCATTGTAATGTGATGCATGATAAATATTTCATGCTGTGCTGAGATTACTTCCAAATCTCACGTTTTTTATGGCAACTTATGTACTGAGATAAATGCATTGCAGTGAAGTGGAATTTAATTGAAAAAAGCTTTGTACAGAGAACCATTGGTTAGCATTGTTGACTCAGCTTACCAATTCTTTTTCAGTAATGTTTGTTTTACTTGTTAAGTGGGTGTTTGATTTTATTGAACAATTTTCAGGTTCTTGCAAAATTGTTGACTCAGAAAAAGCTAAAGTGAAGAAGGAACATATGCAATGAAGTATTAAAATGGATGACATGTTCATTGCAGCGATGTTACAGCAACAAGAGACAGGAAATAGTCCCAATGGGATTTTCACAATAAGGGAATATGCTGGAATGGTCAATAAATTAAATGAAAGTTTAGATATGCCTTTAGGAAAGACTCATCTGAAAAATAGATTAGAATATCTGAAGAAAATTTTCAATAAACAGTATGATGTCCTCAAGAAAATAATTAAATTTTCTTTTTTTTTTAATGTAGGCAAAATCCTGGCCCTTAAAAATGGAAAATAAGCTTATTAATAATTAAGAGAGTTTAATAGAGTTATTTGCCAATGATAAGGCAACAGATGTGCTGAAACTGCAAAGGAGAAACGACAAAGATGGGTTTCACATATACAATTTATAATGTGGGTCAACTAGAAACCTCAAAATGAAATTCATTTTGAAAATTATAATACAATTGATGCTGAGATGCTCAAACAAAATCCACAATTTCAACATCAAAGTTAAAGTGCAACAAATCCAAGGAAAAAAAAAGTATTTGATTAATGTGAATGAAGAAAATAAAATTTTAAAACAAGGGTAGTTGATGTTTTTGGCGCTTTTGAGATGTTGGTTCCAAGCAATGTTTAAAAAAAAGTGTTTTAAAGCACAAAAAAATGCACTATGCAACGAAACAGTCCCAAAATGCTCTAAAGTATAAACATCAAAGTGTTCATGGTATGAAGTCTATGCTTTCTAATGTGAAGTGTATGCTTCACGATTCACTTCGAAGCAAGGAGAACTTATACTATAGTTTTTCTTGAATTTTATAAAAATTTGACTTTTTAAGCTATTCAAGAGGAAAGTGAAGGGAAATTAAATAGTCGAAAAGCAGTAAAGAAACTTATCGCTTCACATGTATCCCGAGATCATCAATTCTACAATTTAAGGCATAAAATCTTCATGTTATTTTCATCTAATCATCTCTTTATCATATATTGCTTTCATCTCACTCTACGTATACTTTCACCTCACTCTATCTATACTCTATCTGTCAACCTTACACATTGCCATTTTTTGTTACTTATCCAATTCTTTTCACCATTAATCCAAATGCCTATTTTGTTCTATCAAGTATTCAATGGATATGATGTTTAGAACATATAAAATTTACATTACAAGTCTTGAATGATATAAGAGCTAATGTGTAGGAGATTATCGGTGTTTGCTTCCATCAAATTTCAATTTATAATGCTTGAGTTCTAATAAATAGTCCTGATAGTTTTATGGAATGTTAATGTATTATAATCCTTACCTATGTCTCTATGAATTAGAGAAAAGACCAATAAAATAAAAATGTAAAAAATAAACAAACATTTATTTTTACATCTATAAGATGGTGGTGAGGCCTGCAATGCTTTATGGTGCCGAATGTTGGCCATTAAAAGAGAAGCATAATACTAAGTGAAGTGTGGCAGAGATGGGATGCTCAGGTGGATGAGTGGCTTTACCCTTAGAGATAGAATACGAAATGAGAATATACGTGAAATGGTTGGAGTAGCTCCAGTAGAAGATAAGATTATAGAGAGTCGCCTTAGATGGTTTGGTCACATAAAACGGCGGCCTTCCAATGACCCGATTAGGAAAGTAGAGGTATTAGATTTGACTTATGTTAAGAAAGGTAGAGGCAGACCTAAAAAGACTTCATTATAAAATATTAGAAATGATCATTCTCTATTAGATTTAAACGAGAATTTGACTTTTAATAGGACACAATGGACAAAAATGATTCATGTAGCCGACCCCACGTAGTGGGATAAAGGCTTGATGTTGTTGTTGCTGTCGTCTAAAAACTTTCAATCCCAGGAAAATTATTTGATTTCCTTTACTATTCTTTCTCAGTGCAATTCCTTTCTTTTCTCTCCTAAACTCCCAACATAATGTAAGAGTTTCATAATCCATTTTTAGCAATTTTCATCTCCTTCATCAAATTATATCACTAGAAAGAAAAAAGAGAAGAAAACGCAAATTGCAAGAATCAGCTACATAGGTAAGAAGTGATGGAACTTTCAGGGACATACTATCTTTAGGAAAAAATTCTTGAGAATATATCTGGCAGTCTAATATATATATATAACGGGTCCTAAAAATATCAACAACATATAAATGTCTATATCCTGACATCTCAATGGAAAATAAGACTATCTCACGAGCAGTCGCAAGATGTCCAATAACTGGAATTGGTATATCACGGTTCCACCGAATGCATATCTTTCTTACAGCTTATCAGATTGCATTACCTGTTTATATACATTTGCGAGAACCAACATTAAAAAAGAAGGCAAGAAAGTTTTTTTTTCTTTCCGAAAAAAGGAGAGCAACTTCAAATCAAAATTTTAATTTGAGGGTTTGGAGAGGAAGGATAGGGGATTACAGTGGAGAGTGTAGTGAGGGGATCTCAACCGGGCGTCTAAAGATGCAACCGGGCACTTAAGCTGCGGCAACAAGAATGCCATTTGGTGCCTGGTCTTCGCACCTGCTCCTGAATCCCAATTGCTTTATGGCTTATCAGACGTCGTCGTCCTCGTCCTCCTCTTCTTGGAACGCGGAGGATGACAGCATGCTAGAGAGAGAGACGGATGAGGAAAAGGATAAGGGGAGCGGAGAGGGAGCATGTCGAGGGAGAATACTGAGTACCTGTGTGGCGGGTAGTGGTGCGATCAGACGGACCAGAGGTCCAATTTTGGAGGGGTTGACAGGACACGAAAATCTGAATTGGAAATTGACCCGAATTTTGGGATTAGAGCCAAACCCTTTAGAAAATGGGTCGTGCTTGGGTCTCCAATACAGACCCATTTGAAATTCCGGATTGGGTTCGGGCCAACTTAAAAACACAATTTTAATTCGGATTGTCCCGGGACACCAAGCGGTGAGATCATGTGAGCGATGAGCCGTCTGATTTAGGTTTATGGCTTACACTCTATTCATTTATATATGTATCAGCCACTAGCCCGCTATTCATTTCTATGTGTATCGTTCCTCTCTTGTCTGTCAGCTCTCCCCTCTTCTCTTATGTATCTTATCTCCTCCACATCCAGAGTTCGCTCGGAGCTTTCTTCGGTTTCGGTTCCTCCTCTTACTTAAGTTTTATTTCATGCAATTTGTTTCTTCTTGACTACTGCTTTCGTAAGTCACGACACATGACTAGGTTTTTTTTTTAGTTTTTTTTTTTTTTTCTTTTATGACTTTTCTTTTTTCAATAGCTATTAGCTCTTTCTCTTTCCGTCTTTCGAATGATCTTGTCTAGGTTTGTGTTGAACCTCTCGTTTTTTGTCTCATTTGCCATTAAAGCTTCATTTTTCTCCTAGTTATACTTTCAATTTTTTATGGCTTTGTATTTTTTAGGGTCGATTAGTACTTCTCTTAAAGGAATAAAGGAATGTATTCCTTTTTGTTATTGGCTTCTTGGCTTGTTAGTTGTTTCATTTATACAATTATACATGTAACATGAACTCCTCCTGTAGTAGCAGCATTGCATGTAGTCTTTCTCACTCTTCAGGTTGGATAAGTTGATTAAACGTAGGGTAAATGAATAAATGTTATTAAGGCAGGACCGGTGGAGAAACCTTTAACCTTTTGAGTGTTGACTACCATAATTTTAAAATGTAGTAATGCTTATGTCATTATATTTCATTTTTGTCCTTTTGCACTTTGCCTTTTCAGTTTGTTGTTGCTCTTATATGCAAATTTATAATACATTCTCACATTCTACAACATTTGTTGTTGTTGTGTTGCACTGTGTTTGCACTTTGTCGTTGTCTATTGCAACTGAAATCAACTTTAATGTGTTACATTATTGTGTACTAGTTTGATATTTAAGAAATAATTATTCATATTTGGCATATTTGGACTGTAAAAATATAGTTTAATTGGTTGGCTAGATGGAGGATTCAAACACCATTGCTAGGAATTTTTTTTATGAGCATAAGCAAGTGGGTAGTGGTGATAATGTGGTAAAGCCATCTAATGATGCATGTAATGATTGTAAACTATTAAAAAGCGTAGAATGATGACTTCAACAGTTTGGGGTCATTTTAAGATGTTGTCTAATGTCAAAGATGATAAACAAAAGTGTAAATATAAGAAATGTGGTGCACAATATATATGTGATAGCAAAAAATGGCACTGATAATTAACGGTGTCACTTAAAAAATTGTAAAAAAAAAAAGAGATATGTAGGATATAGGACAGGTTATATTGTAAACTAACTATAACTCATCTATCTCTATGGCTAAATGTAAGTTTGACTATGTAGAATTTCATTATTTATTTAATTCCTGCATCATTATGCATGATTCCCATGTGCGGAATGGGTTAGTGTTCGAACACTTTTGTTGTATCTTTGTAAAAACCTACAACTATTTTTTTTAGTAATACTGCAAGGAATTATTGTAATAAATTATTCACTAAAGAAAAAAACTCATATATCACAATTATCAAAGTGCATTATTAGGGTTTGTCTAACATCAGACTTATGGACACCAATAAACACTGATGCATTTATTTGCTTAACAGTACATTTTATTGATAATGATTGATACCTACATAAAAAGATCATAAGTTTTTCTTTCATGCCACCCCCTCATGATGGTATATCGATATTTAAGAAATTATAATCTCTTGTGCTTGAGTGGAAATTAGAGTGCAAGCACTTCAGCATTACTTTGGGCAGTGCCTCTACAAATAATATTTATGTTGACTTCCTAAGAAATCAACTTAATTTACATGGCGGTCTGCTATGCGACTGCATATTTTTTCATATCTGATGCACTGCATATATTATTAATCTTATAATTTAGGAAGGGATGAAAGAGATTGAGAGTGCAATCTTAAAAATTAGAGAGAGAATCAAATATGTGAAGGGCTCTTAAGCAAAGAAGCAAAAAAAAAAAAATAGATTGTGTTAAGCAGAGTTGTTTAGAATCAAAAAAGGTCTTAAGCAAGATGTTCCAACAAGATAAAACTCTACTTTCACAATGATTGATAGTGATATATACTATCGTAGGGCATTCCTATATCTGGAGTTGGACGATTTTAACTACAAAGCTTGTCCTATTGTTGCAGAATGGGAAAGAGTATAAACTATTCATACCTTTCTAGCTCCTTTCTATGAAATTACCTTGTAATATTTGGCACAAAGTATCCAATAGTGAATCTTTACTTTCCTTGCATTTTAATTGCTTATACAGCTTTAAAACATGAACTTTCATTTGGTCATGACTACATAAAAAGAATGGTTGTAGGTATGACTGGAAAACTTAAAAAGTACTAGTCATAGTTTAGTGACATATTGGCAATAGCAATTATTCTGGATCCTCGATATAAACATACATTTGTAGAGTGGTGTTACACAAGATTGTATGAAGGTGATTATGCATCCGAACAAAAATAAAATAAGAGATATATTATTCTCATTATTTGCAAACTACACAAGGGTAAGTGGTTAAAGTTCTAATGCAACATAGAGGGGATATAATGATGTCTCTAGAAGCAATTCTTCTACTATCATTAAGTCATAATTTCTTCAGGTATTTGTTATAATACTGTCATTTTTCAATTATTCATATTAGTGTTTTAGTTTGATTAATCAAATATGAGATTCCAAAACATGATTTTGATTCATTCAAAGAGGAAGCCATTTTTCCTAAGAAGTCAGAACTCGAACTCTACCTCGATGAACCTAAACTTGATAGGAAAGGCAATCAATAAAGAATTGTTGAGGTCTATGCAATGGCCCATGATGTGTTGTGTATTCCCATAACAACAATAGCCTTTGAAAGTGCCTTCAATAATAGTGGTAGAATCCTAGATCAATATTGAAGTGCACTTAAACATGATATAGTTGAGACCTTTGTTTGTGCTAAGGATTAGTTATATGGAGAAAATGGTGTAGTATCATATAACCTATTGAGTTCCTCCTTTAAAAAAAATATTTTTACACCACTTTAATTATTTAAGAGGTCAAATTTTTTTCTTGTAGTAGTAAATGATCCCGAACTTGAAAAATATGACTGAAGATATCCTAAATTAAAATATTTGCCAAGTCAAAGAAGATCCTAGTTAAACTTGGTGAAAGTTCAATCATTAGATAATTTTTCATCCTCTTTAAACCTATTGGGTATTAGTTGTTGGCTTGTTCCTGGCTATGAACTGAATTCATTTTTAGTTATTGGGTCTTGTGTGTTGATTATCAGCTAGTTGCTGGTTGTTGGGTGATTGATGCTGGCTTGTCGTTGGTTGTGAATTAAATTTATTGTTGGCTTCTAGCCTGTTGCAATTATGAACTAAATTCATTGTTGATTTTATTATTTTATATATCTATTTTTTATATTTTAATATAAACTAAGCTAATAAATGGTTAGATGTTACTAATTTAGCAATTTTGTACCTATAGTCTGTCGGTTGAATCCTCTTATGGTTGCTGGATAATTTATTTTTGGGTTGTAGTGGTTTCCATGTTTGGTTGTTATTGAACTTGTTAGCTTAGTTTATATTACTAAACATATACTGTTAGTCACTAGTTGTTGTTACCATACTTGTGTTTATGTGTTAATTGTTAGTTGCTTAGCTATTGTTGAACTTGTTAGTTATGCTTGGCAATTTTTTGTGTTGTTTGTGGTATGTTTTAGTCTTACGGCAATTATTTTCAGAACTTGTCTATTTGTCTGGTTCGGTGTTGTTGAGTTCAAGTAATAAGAACTTAAGCAATGATGATAAACCCTTAAAAATTGAAAGTGAGAGCCCGTTGGGGTAAAAATAAAAAACTATTGCAACCAGGTGGCATTTGTATGAAGTTAGCCCAAGCCGATACTATCAATTTTTAAGTAAGCTTAACTTAATGCAAAGAGCAAAGTGTGTCCTTGGATGGTAATAGAAATATTCATAACTCACATTTTATTAGTTGTTGAATGAGTTAGAGGGTAAATCTATGCTATTAAATTAATCATCTTACTATCTCATGATTTAGAATTCTATCTATTTAACCATTTTTTCGCAGTTTTTTCTTCTTGAAGTATCAAAGATAGATTGTTCTCCACTTTCCAGTAGTAAATTCAAAGATTTGAAATTTGTTTCTCTTGTAGTGGTTGCAATGTAAGAAGTTTGGTTGTAAGCTTGTAATGCAAAATTGTAAATTGATCTGTTGCAAAATTATTTATTAAATTTACTCAATTATTCATGTACTAGCTTATGCTTATAAAGAGAAATAGCTCAAATAAAAAAAATTAATTTTTGTGTACAGCTCCCTTTCCTATTCAATCATTTGTTTTTTCTATGTTGCTAATTGTTATTGCTGATTTGATCATTAAAAAAAAATATATTATGTTAAGAAAATTTTGAAGTTGCACTATTATTTTTTTAAATAGTAATTCTACTTAAACTTGGATTTTTTTTAATACACTAAAAAGCTCAATTTAAAAAAAATTGAAACAAATCGAGTTGGTGGGTCATTTCAGGTTTACCCAATACTCGACCAGGTCGATTTTCGGTTAAGAAAGTAGACCCAAAATGCTAATCGAGATGGGTCCAGGTTGGATCAAAATAAGTCGGGTTTGACCCAAACCTGACTCGCCGACCCATTTTGACAACCACTACTTAGGCAAGCCACATACATAGTGCGTAGCTCAAGCTTCAGGCATTATATTTTATATGAGA